TGTCATCGGAGATTTCTAGAACACCTTTCCAGTTTTCATTTTTAAGCAATGATTGCAAGGGATCAAAATACAGATGCAGCTTTAACATAAAGCTAAATCTTATAAAATTAAATATTCAGTTATGCTGGAAGTAGATTCAGTTTAAGGGCACCTAAATATAAAGGGCACTTCAATACTCCCTTTTTTCCTATCTTTATCATGGACCTATGATTCAATATGTCTCTCCCTCAAAACAAAAACAAATCCCCAAAACAGAAAAAAATAAAAACACATATATTAGTATTGAAAGTAAGTTCAGGTATACTTTTTTCTTTTTATTCATATTTGAATAATCTTGATACATAGATTTCATTTTGCTCTTTTCCCTTTTACACTTTAAAAAAATTTTTTGTGGTGTTTTTATTTTTATCTGCAGCTTCCTCTAGGACTGTGACTAGTACATGAAGGGCAGTCTCTTTAATCTTGCAATCAGGAGGTTTTTCTTCTCACAATACACTCTGATTAATGTAAACTAATAATTATAAACACCGTAATGAGCAATGTATTTGAACAGTGCAACTGATTGGCTGACTTGTAGTTTGAAAGATTTTTCTAAAGCGTAGGAAAGAACAAAACAAAAATTGCATTTCCAAGTGCTTCTCTACCTTGAAATTGTGTTTTTTATTTTGGTACAATTATACCAATGACATTTAGCACCAGTATAGTTAAACAAATGTCAGAATTTTAATTATATTGCATTTTCAAGGTTTTATAACTTCTTGCTGCTTTACTGACATTGAAAGTTGGATATAAGATTTCAGCTAAGCAATATCTTTTCTAATACATGAAATTATTTCAACATTTTACATTCCACAGCATCTTTCATCTAAAGAGCTGCAACTTCTTCACACATTTGCATAAGTATTAACCTCATTTCGTATATGGGCAAATTGAGTTATGGATTAAAGTGACTTTCCCTAAGTGATGCAGCATGTCTGTGACAGACAGGAGCAGAGTCCTGTGCTCCTGAGTCTTTGCCATGGGCCCTAGATGCTTTATATCTCTTTTTCCTTAAATGCTCAATTTAATATGTATTAGGGTAAATTGAAAGATTACTACGGACTTGAAGTGCAAGTTACATCAGATCCCAAGCTATCAAAAGTGGCAAAATATATATGATTGTTGGGTTTTGTTTCTGGGTAGTTCTAGGCTTACAGAAGATGAAAGTGAAAGGTATAATTAATAGTCTACAGGCAGTCCCCGGGTTACATCAGTCCGACTTAAGTCGGACTCCTAGTTATGAACCGGGGGGGGAGTGGCCCCGCTAGTGCGGGGTGCCTCCCCATCTGTTACGAACCGGCGCTTCCCCCCAGCAGACCAGGCCCCCCCCCCCCCCCAGCAGACCAGGGAGACGCGGAGTGGCTTTTCTCGCCGCAGAGGACGTGGGCACTAACTTTGAGAGAATTACACCAATTTATAATGGTGTAGGTGAGAGAAGAATTAGGTGTCTTGGACCAGTCTTACACTAGTGAAGTCAGTGGGTTTTTACCATTGATATTAAATAGGATCGGGATCAAGGCTTTTTAAGTATTTTGAAAAGCATCATGTTCACATATAATATTCCACATTAATGTGTATCATTCTTTCTGGAGAAGGAACATCTAAAGCGATTATGTCAAAAGTATATAAATCAATTAAATTCCCATAAATGAGGGTAAAAATCCCAAGCACACAGAGTAATGGAAGGAAGGATTTTGAATGGATATTTCATATGCAATTTAAAGTAAACTAAAATCTGGCAATATACAGTAAAGACAGTTATAAATCCTTTGTGTCTTTTAGATTGTGTCTGACTGTTAGCAAAGTTAGTAAGATTCTCCCTTTTCCCTTATTTTTAATTTCTGGTTACTAGTTAAAAGCAGAATGTTTGTTTTAAATCACCAACTGTGTTTTGGTGTATTCCCTGCAATATAACTGAGGAGTCACTATAAAGGCTTTTTAAACTAATGGGTGCAAATAGAACAACAAGAGAAAACAGTTATTAACCTGTTCTGTAACTGGTGTTCCTTTACATTAGGGTTGCCAGATGTCCGGTTTTGAACCGAACAGTCCAGTATTTAAGCTTTCTGTTTGGGAAACAAATTGAAAAAATATAAATGAGGAAATATAAATGTCCGGTATTTTCTAAATAAGATGTAATCTAGATTGTGTTGTAATGTCAAGTGTGTCCAGTATTTTTGTTGAAACCATCTGGCAACCCTACTTTACATTTCAGGTGCCCGCATGCCCAGTGTTCCAGTTCAGTCAGAGATTTTCCTCTTATTTGTATACTTTAGTGTGGTGCATGCACTTTCTCCTGCCTCATGCTGCTGTGTGGTGGTATGAAGTTTGGAGCTGCCCAGCTTGGTCCTCCTTGCTCCCTGTAATTGATAGACAGAGCATGTTGGCTTGCTTAGCAAATGTTTTTCCTCCAAGGGACTTTGCCTTTTCTATATATAATTAGTGTAGTCCATGAATAGTTAGCTAGTTGAGCTTTAGAGTAAGCTTCATTTGCTGTTTTTCTTGTTTCATTTAGAGTTAGCTCTGGGTTCTGACTTTTGATCCTTGGAACACCTCCAGCCTTGTAATGGCTGCATAAGTGTGTGCTGGTAAATGATTCTCATTCCTGTAAACAAACACCAGCTCTTTCTAAACAGCAGTCATACATGTAACTGATTTGGTGCAACCGTAAAAGCAAGGGATCTTGCCTCATAACACACACAAACACAGTATCATTTGGTTATATTTATCAGTGTCTTCAAAACCACTAATAACAAATCTGAGTTGTTTCCTTAGCTATCTCTTGCATACCCATTGTAAATATTTATGATACATTAAAAATGAGATGCTTTTACTGTTGTTTTATAAAATACTTCACAATCATAACCGTCTAATATTTACTGCTGCAGGTCTCTCCTCCCCTTGGCATGTACACAGGCAAAATGCTAATGGGTATTTTATTTGAGTAAGTTCTTAGCAATAAATTAATAATAAAACCATACTTAGCCATTATATAGAATTTTTCCTCTGCACATTTTAAAGTGCTTTATTTGTATGTTAGATATTATTTCTAGAGCTGATGGAAAATGGGCTGATCAGAAAATGGATTTTATCAGAGGAATTTTTTTTTAATTGTCTCAAAAATTGCCAAAAACTAAACAATTTTAACTTTATTATCCAACCAAAACACTGCAAATATTTGAGAAAAACAGATGCTGTCCATTAAAATGTTTAGTTAGTTGAAAACCCAATTTTCCAATGTAAAATAGTTTTGACTGACATTTTCTGATGAGACAATGAATTCTTTCTTTTTCAGAGGAGGAAACCAGGGGTACGTATACATAGCAGTGTTATTTCAGAATAACTGACATTATTTTGAAATAACATAGTCTGTGTCTACACTACAAGTAGTTATTTTGACATGTTGAAATAATGTTGACATGGAGGATTTCTTACTCCTGAAACCCTCATTTTACAAGGAGTAAGGGAAGTCAGAGGAAGAGTTCTCTACCTCAGACTTCCTGCTGTGTAGACAGCACCAAAAGCTGAAATAAGCTATTTCAACTTAAGATACTCAATTGACATAGCTGAAGTTGAGTAGCTTAGGGTATGTCTACACTACCCTCCTAGTTCGAACTAGGAGGGTAATGTAGGCATACCGCACTTGCAAATGAAGCCTGGGATTTGAATTTCCCGGGCTTCATTTGCATAAGCGGGGCTACGCCATTTTTAAATCCCCGCTCGTTCGAACCCTGTGCCGCGCGGCTACACGCGGCACGAACTAGGTAATTCGAACTAGGCTTCCTAGTTCGAACTACCGTTACTCCTCATTCCACAAATACTGTGATGCCCCCATTCAGGGAAAAAGCCCTCTTGTGCAAATGTATTTGCGCAAGAGGGCCAGTGTAGACAGCTCAGGACTGTCTTGCGCAAAAAAGCCCCGATGGCGAAAATGGCGATCGGGGCTTTCTTGCGCAAAACCACGTCTAGATTGGCACGGATGCTTTTCCGCAAAAAGTGCTTTTGTGCAAAAGCATCTGTGCCAATCTAGACGCTCTTTTCTGCAAATGCTTTTAACGGAAAAACTTTTCCGTTAAAAGCATTTGCGGAAAATCATGCCAGTCTAGATGTAGCCTATCTGTATAAGACTATGGGTGTGTGTGCATGTGCGTGTACAAATTCATTCTTTTCCTATGATAAACATTTGTTTGACAAATATATCATGTTGCAATTCTGGAATGTTAATGATTGCAGTTTTTAAGTTAGAAGTTCTTTTTTCTTCTCTATTTTTTATCGCAACCATAAATATAGTTGTTTCCATTAAATATGTTGTAGTAATGAGCAGTCAGGATTTTCTATGTTTGTTTGCTTTTGAAATGGCTTTTTTTCTTTAGCAGAATAATTAGATGAGATATGATGATTTAACCACCACTGATATGAACTTACTCCCTTGTTGTAAACTTTTTCATTACTAATATGTATTATATTTAGAAGTGGTCATGATGAAGATGAAAGAAAGTCTGAAGAAATTCTCTTGTTGATTTAAAATAAACGTTATCAAAGTTTGTTCGATAGATAGGTCCAAGTCCCTTCTGCATTAACTGTCATCTCAGTAAAACAGAAGCTGCTTAAAAAGTTAAGCAGACAAATACCAGGAAACCAATTAATCTTTTCACAACCTTCTATTCCAATATTTACCCCTTTGCCTAACATTGTTGTCACTTTTTACATTTTCAGTTGATCAGCTGGAGGCTCAGATAAATATTCGTCTGTAGCTTTTTAATCATAAAAAAAATAAAGTATCCCTGACCTTAGCTAACTTTTAAGCTTTGGAAATATAGTATTAAGACTTTGAGTAACAGTAGGCACAGAACCAGACGGAACTTCATTTTCAGTGAATGCTTAAGCTCTAATTACATTACTTTTGATATGCTTTCTTAACAACTAGATTTTAAAGAAGTTGTTTTGATTTTATTTTAAAGGGTCCATCTTGCTGGGAGGATGTGCTGATTCCCAACAGAATAACTGGCACTTGCCAATCCCAAAACTGCAGTGGAGATGTAGCGGTAAGATACTGACAAATGTCATGTTTCTCCTAGCTGTATTAGAAATACTTCTTTAAACAGAAATGGTAAATTGCCACCGATAATATATTTTAAACAGAATTAGTGCCTTACATCAATAATATAACAAAACTGGGATATCTGTCAGTTATTGCTCAGAAATACCTAGGGGTCTGTGCACTACGTTCGACATCCTCTCCCCTCCTTCCCCGCCCAGGAGTAGGCGTAGCCATGACTCTCCACCTCTCCAGCCACCGGGCCCTCCAGAGGCTCTCCTGCCTGCCCTGGCTTCTGGGGGGTTAGGCTGGGCTGAGGCCACGCCAGCCCCGGCTCTCCTTCCCTGCCCCAGGTCACCGAGGCCACACCAGTCCTGGCTCTCCCCTCCCTTTTGGCCACCAGGTGGGCTGGACCAAGGCTGTGCCAGCCCTGGATCTCCCCCCCACCCCCACCCCAGCCTTCCAGGGAGGGCTGGGCTGAGGCCACACCAGCCCCGCCTTGCCCCGTCCCTGGTTTCCGAGGGCCGAGATGAGGCAGCACCGGCTCTACCCCTGGCTGCTGGGGAGGGCTGGGCCAAGGCTGTGTCAACCTTGGGTCACCCCCCGGCCTCTAGGGAGGGCCGAGGTAAGGCCATGCCAGCCCCAGATCTCCCCAAGGCCACTGGGGAAGGGAAGGGAGGAGAGGGCCGTGCCAGGGCCAGGTTGGTTGTGGATGGGGCTTGGCTCCTGTCGACCGGATGAGGTGTTCTGTCTCTGATCACGTCAGACATTTTTGTACGCGAGCTGCAGCGTCAAACTTTTGTTCACTTTTGACTCCCTTCCTCTATCAATCCTTGAGTCATTATTCACATAAGGTCTTTCTGAAAGTGACATAAATGGTGTGTGTCAGAAGCCAGCAGCAAAGCATTTCAAATTCTCAACAAGCAATATTTTTTTTCTTATTTGTTCATGTTTATATCTTTTGTGTCAAAGAGTAATAATGTCTTACACTTACTGTACTTAACACCTTTCATCTAGAGGAGTCCTAAAGTACTTCACAAACTATGTATATACATGAATCATTTACCCACCATTGAAATGCAACCTCTATGGTTTGAAAAGTGGTAGGTTGCTCTTTAACAGCACACAGAAGTGCTGTACTGTAGTTCAGGTCAGGCCAAGTTGAATAGTTTGTCCAACTAAAACTGCTAATCAAATCTGCCCATAAAATGTAGGTTGGCAGTATGTAATTCCTCTTACACATCAGGACTAGCATGATGTGATAGTTAAATGAGCATGAAAGGTTTAGGTTCTCAGTTTTATTTCTTATCAAGAGCACAACCATACTTCCTCTGGTCCATTGCATTGGTACTGACTGAGGAGGTGGAGGAGGAGAACAACTTACAAATTCAGCAAAACCACTTTCCTGCACTGCCTTCTTTTAAAGCAGACATGGAAACATGAGACCTTATGTAAAGTAGTGTGTGGGCAGAGTCTGCAACTTTATTAAATTAACAAACCAGTGAGGAGCCACTTCCTGAACTTGCTGACAGGCTGCAGAATTCAACTGGGCACCAATGGCCCCTGGTTCTACTTGAGGATGGGTATGAAAGCAGTGTCCCCTGTTCCTCTCTGTGCCGGTATAAGGACCCTGGAAAGAAGCTGGCCTCTCAACCCATTCCCTTCATCCAGATAGACAGCCTGCTTTACCCTAATTATGTATGTATAAATCAATTACCTGATGAATAATAATTATTGCGGAGAATGGGAACAGCCTGCTGGAGAGTGAGATCTATCTATTAAATGTTGCAACAGAACAGAGGACAACCCATTAAAGAGCAGAATTGTAATTTGATGTATTATCCCATTTGGGGAGGCCAAATGCCAGACCTACCGTAGCCCAAATGCCAACATCCAACAGACACCTCATTGTCTCCCTTTCCTAACATTGTGGTTGATGTAGCTGCCACTTTTCTAAATGAATGAGAGCTGAAGTAATACAACCTAACCATATCAGCCACACCATAATGGGTCATTCACATGCTCATCTACTAATCTGGTATATGCTATCATGTGCTAGCAATGCCCTTCTGCCATGTATATTGGCCAAACCAGACAGTCTCTATGCAAAAATAAATAAATAAATAAATAAATTAAATGGACTCGCGTCAAACATCAAGGATGGTAGCACACAAAACCTAGTTAGGACAACACTTCACTCTCCCTGCACACTCAGGGGATGTCTAGACTACATCCCTCTGTCACCAGAGGGATGTAAATTAGACATACTGAAATTGCTAATGAAGGGGGGATTTAAATATCCCACACTTCATTAGACTAAAAATGGCCACTGCTTTTTGCAGCCACGGCAATTTGCCGGCAAAAAGTGACAGCCTAGATGGGGATCAGTCGTCAAGGAAAGCCTTTTCCAACCGATCCAGTAAACCTTGTTGCACGAGGCATAAGGGATTGGTAGGAAAAGGCTTTCCTTGACGACTGATCCCCATCTAGGCTGTCACTTTTTGCCGGCAAATTGCCGTGGCTGCAAAAAGCAGTGGCCATTTTTAGTCTAATGAAGTGTGGGATATTTAAATCCCCCCTTCATTAGCAATTTCAGTATGTCTAATTTACATCCCTCTGGTGACACAGGGATGTAATGTATTGTAGACATACCTTCAGTAACAGATTTAAAAGTGTCCGTCCCTCAACAAAAAACACTTTGAAAACAGATTGCAAGGAGAAACTGCAGGGCTGTGATTCATTTGCAAATGTGACACTATTAATCTGGGTTTGGATAGGAACTGAGAATGTATGGCTCACTACAAAAGCAATTTTCCCTCTCATGGTATTCACATCTCCTCATCAACCGTTGAGAATGAGTCACATGCACCCTGATCCTCCACTTGATAAAGTAACTCCCTTCTTCTCATGTTCTAGTATATTTTTGCCTGCCTCTGTAATTTCCACTCCAGTGCATCTGATGAAGTGGGTTTTTGCCTATGAGAGCTTATGTCCAAATAAATCTATTACTCTTTAAGCTGCCACGGGACTCCTTGTTGTTCTTGATCTGATTGTAAGTCTTCCCTCCTTTGCAGGTTTGTTGCCTGTAACTGAATGTTACTGGGTGTGCCTCACCATCGTGGGCAGCTCCTGTTGGTCACTCAGGAATTAGCTCCTTTGGCCCAGGAGCTCCCCCTTTCAGCAGTATCTCACCCACGGTTACCTATTTTTTTTCTCCACCTCTGGGTACTGCCCTATCACAGTGCCTCCACACTATGGGATCCTTGCTCTTTAGGAACCCTCAACCCCCTATGCCTACCCTGCCTCATTGACTCACTGCCAGTCTTCATCTAGCCCCTTTCCATGGGGGCAAACTGCATTCTGAAATGACCATTCATCATTGGCACAGTGGTGTGGACCTGCTGCCTTTGCCTGCCCTTGCTGCTTCCCTTGCAGCCTTAGTACACTCAAGTCTTGCTTCAGGCCCTGCAGCCTGGGAGCTTGCCTGTCTTTCCCCAGCCATGATGTAAGTCAAGAAGCCTCTCACTTCCTTGTCAGCCAGGTCCCTCCTGCTCCACTGCTGGAGCAGAGTGAGTCTGTGCCTCTCTTCCTCTCTCCAGGAGCCCCTATTTATATAGCCCCAGCTGGGATCGGTTGTATCTGCCTTAGGTGTGGGACTTTGCTTTCTCAGCCCTGGGTTTCAACCCTTAAATGGCCAGCCCAGGGCAGATGCTCTCTCACTGGAGTATAGCTAAAATGGCTACAAGCTATCGGCACACAGAAACAATCACTCCTTCCAAATACCTGCAGAGCAATTGAGAGTCAGTTAGCTGGCCTGTTATGATGCCAGCCATGTGATGACAGTGAGAGTAAGCAGGACAAGCTCAGTCTCAGGATTCTGTGGGAGGTAGCCCACTGGACTAGCCCTCCCCACATCAGGGGAAAGGAGAGGTGGAAACATTAAACTGATAGATTCCAAGGCCAGAATATGATTATTTTGTCTGACTTGTCAAAGAACTCACATAAAATAATTTCTTTTGAACTAGATAGTTTTAAAAAAAATCCAATCTTGAATTAAAAATTGCATGTGATGGAGAATCCACCATGAGCTGTGGTAAATTGTTCTAGTGGTTGATAACCTTCACTGTAAAAAAACAATATTTCCAGTCTGAATTTTTCTAAATTCAGCTTTCAGCCCTTTGGTATTATATCATTCTCTGACAGTCTGAAGATATTTCTTCCTCAGGCCATGATCAACGCAGCCTTTAACCTTCACTTTAAGTTAAACAACTTGAACTCCTTTAATTGTTCTTGTGGCTCCTTTTTCAACCTTCTCCAAGTATTCAACATCGTTCTTAAATATGGACACCAGAACTGGACGGACACAGTATTCTGGAAGTGATTGCATCACTGTTAAATAAGAGGTAAAATATGATTTGACTACACTACAGAGTGTGTTTTCCCCAATACAGAATAGAACAATTTATTGAACACTTCTGCCTCTTCTACATTATTATTGATAATTCTACCATTTCCATCTAGGAGTGGGCCAGTACCATCGTTAGGAAGATGGAGGTTTTGTGCTGCTTGTACTAAAACATCCTTGTAATTTCTGAATATTCGGACAACCCTCCCTCCTTCCTTCCCACCAATCAAAGGTTCATTGGTAGTTAAATATAGTTTGTCCATGCTTCTTATCTCTCTTCTAATGTTGTTCACTCATTCTGATTCTTAGTCATTTTCTTTAGGCTGTATGTGTTCATTGCATCATTAGTTATGGTACATTCTTTTAGGGTACCCTGTATATTCTGATCTGATTAATTTTATGTAACTGGATTTGCCAAAATAACTACCAAAGTTTTATGAAACTCTTTTAATGCAACGTAAATGAAATGGACTTTCTTGGGATATTTTTTTAACCCAGACTAGGTGTACTTAGTTGCTTATAAACCCCTTAAGAAATACCCAACTATGTTTTGGACAGACCTGAGCTCACTTGTTAGCTGGCATTATTCTTTCTGTCTGTCT